ACTCTCCCTAATGTTATCCTATGTGTCCATGTACACATCGTCTTACAGGCAGTTGAGTACATTTTTTTTTTTAACTATTCCATTTCCAGATGCTGTCCAGAGCATTTTTTAGCATGAAAAATGCATGCAAAGTGTTTTCCCGGTACTCAAATGGACCTGGTACACCATACTTTGAGGTTTTGCATGAAAGAAAATATATGTTAGACACTGCTGCAATAATTTCTGCACAGAAATGAGCTGAAACACCACAAAGGGGGAAAAAAAAAAAAAAAATTTTAAAAAAAAAAGGACACAGCTAATCTCAACAAATACTGCTCTCTCTGCTTCTGATCTCTCCATTCCTCTCAAAATGTCTGAAATAGTTATTTACTGTTTTTCAGTGCATTCTGGGTATTTTGGAAGGTCTCCTGAGGTGATCTTTAAAAAATGCAAACACTCCTAAACGCGGTATGCAAGCGCAGCTAAACAGATGTTTAACCTACATTTTCCAGCAGTCAGTTTCCATCGTTCAGAAGTGTTTTCCAAACGTCCCGTGTACATGGAGGCTAATGCTGTTAAAGTGAGTCTCCTTAAAACTTACATACAATGTTCATTTCCCTTCCCCAGGTACAACTCTCCAAAAACTGTGCCCAGAGAGAAGCAGTACCATTAGCTCGATGCTTCTGGACCTGTACTTTCAAGTGCTATGCCATCAAACACAAAAATTATAATTTTGAAAACAAGATTTTTATTTACATACAAATTTTTGTACACTTATGATAATGTAAATAAAAATCTTATTTTTATTAATTATAAATATACAATTTTAATTGTTGATGGCATGACACCTTCAGCTTATGTTCACACTGATGCGGTGCGGCACATCACATGTGATTCACACAAACTGTACTGAATTCCTGTGCAAATCACATGCAAATTCTGTGCGGTGCGATTTGAGCCATACATTATGTGTGGCTCAAACCACACTGTATCCGCACCAAAAAGGTGCAGGACCCTGTTTTTGGTCCGCACTAGGATCGGATCGCATGGGTATTCACACCCATGCGATTCTGCACATCGCACTGCGTTTTGCGAACTGATTTCAGGGTGTCATTAACTTAACATACACGCCCGCAGCAGTTCGCATGAACAGGGTGCGATTGTGATGCGGTGCGGAATTCGCTGCGAATTTTACACCGCATCAGTGTGAAAAGGCTTAAAGTCCTGAGTGATGCAGTTTATACAATCGTTTTTATTACTGGGATGTGGTGTCTTAATAAGAATAAATAAAGGAACACTAAAGACAGCCAGGGATGGCTCATCCCTGCTGAACCGGCCGAGATTCCATTTATATATGGTCAGGTTGATTGTACCAATGTTGATCCAACGATCGACTTGGGTACAACCAGCATGCTGGATTTCTAGCATATGATTGCCAGCGGCTATGGCCGCCAGCAATAATCACTGTGTGCTCCCAGCGGCTATGGCCGCCAGCAATAATCACTGTGTGCTCCCAGCGGCTATGGCCGCCAGCAGTATAATCACTGTGTGCTCCCAGCGGCTATGGCCGCCAGTAATTAATCACTGTGTGCTCCCAGCGGCTATGGCCGCCAGCAATAATCACTGTGTGCTCCCAGCGGCTATGGCCGCCAGTATTAATCACTGTGTGCTCCCAGCGGCTATGGCCGCCAGTATTAATCACTGTGTGCTCCCAGCGGCTATGGCCGCCAGTATTAATCACTGTGTGCTCCCAGCGGCTATGGCCCCAGCAATAATCACTGTGTTCTCCCAGCAGGGACTGCTTCCCAGGCATCCACCCCTGCCCGGAGGACACAATAGCTCTGCAGGAAGAATTCCCCCATCAAAACTGTTAGAATTGAGCAATTTTCTTTCCTGCAATGATCGGTCATCTATGGCCTGGATGTGCATAAGTGACTCGGGCTAAAAAAAAAAAAAAAAAAAAAAAAAAAAAAAAAAAACACACAAATTCCCTTATCCACACTATTAAGGTGGATAGAGGAATCCTCCCTGCTATGCCATTGTATCCTGACAACAGGATTTCTATTGCTTGCAGTCACTGATCAACAAAAGTTTTCCAAACACTCACGTTTGAAAGAAATGTTGATTTTTGTTGAGCAGGAATGACCATACATGGATCGAAATTCAGCTGGTTCTTGGGGAATTTTAATCCATCTATGTCCAGTTTCTTTGTATACACCATAATTAACTAGTTGTCATCCCCTGCTGAGAGATCAGTTAGACCAGGGTTTCTCAACCAGGGTTCTTCCAGAGGTTGCTAGGGGTTCCTTGAGCAATTTTTGCCTCTCAGGTGACACCACTGATCTTTTTAGCTATCTGTAAAGGGGAAATTCTCCCTAATGTCCACAAGTGAGTGTAAGGAGCATTCTTACCTCTGACTATCACACTTATGCATCATGAGTTGTAGATAAAGTCATTTTTAGCAGGGGTTCCTTGAGACTGGAAAGTTATATCAAGGGTTCGTCTGCATTGAAAAGGTTGAGAAAGGCTGAGTTAGACCATGGGGAGTCTGCATAGGCTGGAGTAACCCACAATCATAAAAGTGTCTTCTGATGTGATTGTCATTGGTCTGACCAGGTGACAACCAGTCCTATGGATATCTAAGAAGTTCTAGACATGCATATTTCCTAAAGGAGAACTTAACTCAAAAAAGCAAAAATTTCTCTCTATTCCTCCCCCTTACAAAAAAGTAAACAAAAAAAAAGTTTTTTTTTTTAACTTTCCACTGTTTTTTTTTTTGTGCTGCAGTACTTCCTGCCTTCTGGGCTAGGGCAGGGCCCACTGCATCCTGGGATAGGTGTGGCATAGCAATCACAGGAGACAGTGCATTACCAAAGGTGCATAGTAAGATGCAGCACATGCACAGAATAGTCATGCAGTTAGGGCGCATTTGTGCATGCACAATAGATTTCTACATGGGAGCACATGTGCAAATAAATCGACTCCTAAGTGCATGTACATAACACTCCAAAAAAGGAAATTCACAAAAGACATTAAAAAAAAACAATTTCCTCCTAAAGCAAATAAGGATATAAATTGTCACAGTCTGGGTCAGGTTCAGAGACCAATAGCTATGGCAGTGTAAGGCTTACCTGAAGCCAGCAGTATAGGTACACAGGCAGGTCACCCTGGGAAATGACGCAGGCTCACCTGAGGTGCGGGGTCTAAGCAATAACCGGTTTTCACCAGAGCTCCTGATGGTGGAGATGGATTTGGCTGCGTGTTGGTACCAGGTCGCAGATCTCAGGATCACCCCACCAGGGAATGAGCAAGCCAGAATCCAATAGCAGATAGAGCAGGTAGGGATCTAGCAGAAGCGTAGTCAGTCAGCAAGCCAAGGGTCGGTCACAAGCAGTAGCAGGTTGGGATGAGGCAGAATCATAGTCAAGGAACAAGCCAAAGGTACGTAGCGAAGGTATAGATGGCAGAAGGAGAGACAAAGTGAGATACTGGCTAGAGAAGACACAATAATCTAGCAACCAGGAAGTGCAGAGACATGGCTTAAATCAGGAAGTTCATGGGAGGAGCAAGTGGTTCAAGGTTCATCAGAAAACAAGGCACAAGGCAGGATTGTCCAATAGATCAGGCAGAGTTGTCCAGCATCCCAGGTAGCTCAATGAGAAGTGTTACTGCCTGACACAGTAGAGGCCCCAGGTTCAAGTCCAGGCCCTGACATAAATCCATCTGCCATAACTTTATGACCACCCACCTAATATTGAGTAGGTCTCCCTTTTGCCACCAAAACAGCCCTGACCAGTCATGGCATGGATGCCACTAGACCTCTGAAGGTATGCAGTGGTATCTGACACTAAACTGTAGCAGATCTTTTAAGTCCTGTATGTTGCGAGAATGGGATCTCCATGGATCCGACTTGTTTTTCCAGCATATCCCACAGATGCCTGATTGTATTGAGATCTGGAGAATTTGGAGGCCAAATCAACACCTTGAACTTGTTGTTGTGTTCCTCAAAGCATTCTTGAACCATTTTTGCAGTGTGGCAGGTAGCATAATCCTGCTGAAAAGAGGTCACTGCCATCAGGGAATGCTGTTTCCATACAGGGGTGTACTTGGTCACTAAAAATGTCTAGGTTGGTGGTACGTGTCAAGTAACAACCACATGAATGGCAGGACCCAAGGATTCTTAGCAGAACATTGCACAAAGCATCACACAGCCTTCGCTGAAGTGCCATCTTCCCAGACTGCATCCTGGTGCCATCTCTTCTTCCCCATGTAAATGATGCATTCACCCCGGCCATCCACATGATGTAAAAGAAAACGGGATTCATCAGACCGCCTTCTTCCATTGCTCCATGGTCCAGTTCTGATGTTCACATGCCCATTGTAGAGACACATTCACTTGCTGCCTAATATATCCCACCAACTTTCAGATGTCAATGTAACAAGAAAATCAATGTTATTTACTTAACTTGTCAGTGAGGTGTGAGCTTGCACTAAATATTTTGTACAGTCTTAAAAGATGCAAAGTACCAGTACCCTTTATGTGAAGAAAATGCCGTAGCTGATGCCTTCTTTTCGGGTATCAACCGTATATGTTACTAGTTCTGGTAATCTAACTGCCTAAGTATCAATGAAAATAAATATTTAAAACTTGTAATTCATGTGCTCATTGTTCAGACATTAATATTATTATTAAACAGGATTTACCAAATTTTTCGCTCCATAAGACGCACTTTTTCCCCCCAAAAAATGGGGGAAAATGTCTGTGCGTCTTATGGAGCGAATATGGAGTGGCCGACCCGGTATTCCCGCTGCCCCCGCCGTGTTAGAATACCAGATCAGTTGCTCGGCTCTGTGCAGCAGAACCTGCAGACATCCAGCGGTCCTACCTCTTCCTCGGTCCAGCGGTGTCCTCACCGTCTTCTCTTAACGTCACCGGCATCTTCAGTGTCAGAACCCAGCTGTGACAGCTTGCAGCTTCACAGCCGGGTGCCCACTGCGCATGCGCGAGAAGCGCTGCGCTTTGTGAATGGCCCTGTAGTCTTCTGGGACCTGTCACGTGTCCCAGAAGACTACGTGGAGGGAGGGACAACTCCGTGGAAGTGGGAGCGGTTACCCGCTCCCCCGCCTCTGCTCCCCACAGGTCCGCAATCTTTGGTCATCTGCACTATGTCTGCAGTCTCTTGTCATCTGTACTATGTCCACAGTCTCTTGTCATCTCCTGTACTGTGTCCACAGTCTCTGGTCATCTATTGTACTATGTCCGCAGTCTCTGGTCATCTCCTGTACTATGTCTGCAGTCTCTGGTCATCTGTACTGTGTCCGCAGTCTCTGGTCATCTCCTGTACTGTGTCCGCAGTCTCCGGTCATCTCCTGTACTATATCCGCAGTCTCCGGTCATCTCCTGTACTATGTCTGCAGTCTCTGGTCATCTTCTGTACTGTGTCCGCAGTCTCTGGTCATTTGTACTATGTCCGCAATCTCTGGTAATCTCCTGTACTATGTCCTCAGTCTCTGGTCATCTCCTGTACTATGTCCTCAGTCTCTGGTCATCCCCTATACTATGTCCTCAGTCTCTGGTCATCCCCTGTACTATGTCCTCAGTCTCTGGTCATCCTCTGTACTATGTCCTGTACTATGTACACACTATAGAGGGATATGCTTTGCTCATTTTCATGTCTGAGGTTAACTACTAGATGGTTTGCTCACTCAAAATGGCCACCAAAGTCTCATGAGAGTTTCTCCTTTTGAGGCACTGTATGGAATCCCTAAAGGTTCAATTCCCTAAGTCTTTATGCACATGGACACAGAAAAACACAATTTTTAGTTTTTTTTCACACTTCTGCATGTTAGCTAATGTGCCCATGCACATGCAGGCGTTTAAGCGCACTTTTATGTTCACACAGGCTCTCTGAAGAAGAGGTGCTTCCTCGAAACGTGTCAGAACCAGCTATCCAGAGCCTCCTAGTCTTCCACCAGACCACCCACAGGGGTTCCTGTACCACTCTGCATCCTTTGTGACATGTTTCCCATGTACAGTTGCAAGAAAAAGTATGTGAACCCCTTGGGATTACGTGGAGTTTTGCATGAATTGGGCATAAAATGTGCTCTGAACGTCATCTAAGTCACAACAATAGAATAACACAGTCTGCTGAACATAATACTATACAAACATTAGATGTTGCCATGGTTTAATTGCACATAACATGTAAACATTCACAGTGCAGGGAGGAAAAAGTATGTGAACCTTTGGACTTAATAACTGGTTGACCCTCCTTTGGCAGCAATAACCTCAACCAAACGTTTCCTGTAGTTGTAGATCAGACCTGCACAATGATCTGGAGTAATTTTGGACCACTCCTCTTCACAAAACTGTTTCAGTGTAGCAATATTCTTGGGATGTCCGGTGTGAATAGCTCTCTTAAGGTCATGCCACAGCATTTCAATCGCGTTGAGGTCAGGACTCTGACTGGGCCACTCCAGAAGGCATATTCTGTGCTGTTGCAGCCATTGTTTTGTTGAATTACCTGTATGCTTTGGGTCATTGTCCTGTTGCATCACCCATCCTCTGCGGAGCTTCAGTTGGCGGACAGATGGTCGTACGTTTTCCTGCAAAATGTCTTGATAAACTCTGGAATTCATTTTCCCATCAATGACAACAATCCGTCCAGGCCCTGAGGCAGCAAAGCAGCCCCAAACCATGATGCTCCCTCCGCCATGTTTTACAGTGGGGATGAGGTTTTGATGTTGGTGTGCTGTGCCTTTTTTTCTCCACACATAATGTTGTGTGTTCTTCCCAAACAACTCAATCTTGGTTTCATCTGTCCACAGTATATTTTGCCAGTAGTGCTGTGGAACATCCAGGTGCTTTTTTGCAAACTTCAAACGTGCTGCAATATTCTTATTGGACAGCAATGGCTTCCTCCGTGGTGTCCTCCCATGTACTCCATTCTTGTTTAATGTTTTCCTTATTGTAGATGTGTCAACAAAAATGTTAGCATGTGCCAGAGATTTCTGTAGGTCTTTAGCTGACACTCTGGGATTCTTCTTTACCTCATGCAGCATTCTGCGCTGTGCTCTTGCAGTCACTTTTACAGGACGATCACGCCTAGGGAGAGTAGCAACAGTGCTAAACTTTCTCCATTTGTAGACAGTCTGTCTTACTGTGGACACATGAACATCAAGGCTTTTGGAGATACTTTTGTAACCCTTTCCAGCTTCATGCAAGTCAACAATTCTTGATCGTAGGTCTTCTGAGAGCTCTTTTCTGCGAGGCATAGTTCACATCAGACAGTGCTTCTTGAAACCAGTAAACCCAAATCAGGTGTGTGTTTTTTTAAGGGCAGGACAGCTGTCAGCAACACATCCAATATCATCACACTGATTGGAGTCAAGGTTGGCTCACTCCTGGCTCCACTTAGCTCTGGGAGAAGTCATTAAGCTAGGGCCTCACATACTTTTTCCTCCCTGCACTGTGAATGTTTACATGTTATGTGCAATTAAACCATGGCAACATCTAATGTTTGTGTAGTATTATGTTCAGCAGACTGTGTTCTTCTATTGTTGTGACTTAGATGACGTTCAGAGCACATTTTATGCCCAATTCATGCAAAACTCCACGTAATCCCAAGGGGTTCACATACTTTTTCTTGCAACTGTATATCTGATTTACATCATTTTATTTTGTGAGTATTTTTACTTTTTTCAATAAAACCTATTTTTAAGGTAATGCACTAGGCCCTCTTTTTGTTTTCTACACACAGTTTTCTTTTGGATTCCCCTGGTCCATTGAGGGCAGCAAGGCCTGTATTTCCCTAGTCTATGTGATCTATGGGATACCAATAGCGGGGAGCCCACAGTCCAGCGCAGGAGTACATGCATTCGGTTGCTACATTCTTCCTTCCAGCACATTTATGTTCAGCATTCAGAGGCAGAAAATAATGGCTCAGTCCCGCATTCCTCGAGAAGCGTTTTTGTGGTTTTTTACATCAAAATACGCGTAAATACTCCTAGACGTGCATACATGTACACTTGTGTGGGGTTATTTATTCTAATGGCTAGAATATTCTAGCCAATAGAATGAGTTTTCACTCAAATGCTTATAAATGACATAAGCATATAAACGCACCTAAACTCAAGTGGAAAAAACTGCAAAATTAGAGACATTTTTTTCTGCCAACTTCTGGCAAATTTCATACACCTGTGTGCATGGGACCTTATAAGACTCCCCTTCCCTTGATATAATGGCACAGAGCCACCTACAAGCGGGAAGGCTAACTGCACCTCCCTACACTGTCATTTCCTGCAAGATTTTAGGAGTATTGATCATGTTTTATGCATGGTATTTATCTATAAAGGCCTCCCTTGGGTAGACATCTAAAAGCCCTGCGACTGCTGCTCGGTGCTGCCATCTTGAATGCGATATCAGCAGCTATTTTAAAGGTTCCTCCATGGTAAGAACATTGAAAAAGACTGGTCTATAGCCTGGCCAAAGGTTCACTGGAACTTGAATTGCTACCTAGTAAATAGGAAACTATTTCATATTTATAGTGAAGGAAATAAGTATTTGATCCCCTGCTGATTTTGAATGTTTGCCCACTCACAAAGAAATGATCAGTCTAAAAATCGAATGTTAGGTGTATTGTAACACTGAGAGACAGAATAGCAACAAAAATTCAAAACCAATGCATGTCTAACAAATTATGCACTGATTTGCATGTTCATGAGTGAAATAAGTATTTGATCCCCTTCACAAAACATGACTTAGTACTTGTTGGCAATCACAGAGGTCAGACGTTTCCTGTAGTTGGCCACCAGGTTTGCACACATCTCAGGAGAGATTTTGTCCCACTCCTCTTGGCAGATCCTCTCCAAGTCATTAAGATTTGGTGGCTGACGTTTGGCAACTCGAACTTTCAACTCCCTCCACAGATTTTCAATCGGATTTAGGTCTGGAGACTGGCTAGGCCACTACAGGACCTTAATGTGCTTCTTCTTGAGCCACTACTTTTTTGCCTTGGCCGTGTGTTTTGGGTCATTCTCATGCTGGAACACCCATCCACGACCCATTTTCAATGCCCTGGCTGAGGGAAGAAGGTCCTCACCCAAGATTTGATGGTACATTGCCCCGTCCATCGTCCCTTTGATGCGGTGCAGTTGTCCTGTCCCCTTAGCAGAAAAACACCTCAAAAGCAGAGAATGTTTCCACCACCATGTTTGACCGTTGGGATAGTGTTCTTGGGGTCATAGGCAGTATTCCTCCTCCTCCAGACACGGCGAGTTGAGTTGATGCCAAAGAGCTCGATTTTGGACTCTTCTGACCACAACACTTTCAACCAGTCCTCCTCTGCATCATTCAGATGTTCAGTGGCAAACTTCAGATGGGCCGGGACATGTGCTTTCTTGAGCAGAGGGACCTTGCGGGCACTGCAGGATTTCAATCCTTGTCGGCGTAGCGTGTTACCAATTGTTTTCTTGGTGACTGTGGTCCCAGCTGCCTGGAGATCATTGACAAGATCATCACGTATAGTTCTGGGGTGATTCCTCACTGTTCTCATGATCATTGACACTCCACGAGGTGAGATATTGCATGGTGCACCAGACCTAGGGAGACTGACAGTTGTTTTGTGTTTCTTTCATTTGCGAATGATTGCACCAACTGTTGTCACCTTCTCACCAAGCTGCTTGGAGATAGTTTGGTAGCCCAGTCCAGCTTTGTGTAGGTATATAATCTTGTCCTAGGCAAATTATGTCATACAGGAGTCTTCAGGAGGGGAGCAGTGGATTTCTCAGCTATGCACACCCTCCTGCCTGTATGCCTGAGCTAAAAGCAGGTGGATTCCAGGAAGTAAATGCTGCATGAATCATCTGCCCTTACTCAAGATGGCCATGGCCAAAAAACCTAGCAGGGTGTTTTTCTAAGGCTTGGTTCAAACTGTGCGTTCTGGTTGCGAGTATGGGAATTACATCATTTCCCACACCTGCAACCACCCAAAGGCGAATCATGCTGATCTTCCATTCATTTTGAATGGCACCCCCACGCATCTCAACCCATAGTGCAGTTGTAGGTGTGGGAACAGCAGAAAAACCGCATGGTTTCCCTGAGGCTGCATTTTCAAAAATGGTGCGTGCCCTTTTTTTGTGCAGGAACACGGGCACAGCGGCCCATTCAAATGAATTCAGTCCATTTATTTATTTATATATTTTTAGTTTTGGTTAGAGTGGGGAGGGATTAGAACATCTGTCAAGAAAAGAAAAAACAATTAAAGATAATCCCGAATTTTGGGCTGTCCCAAGATCAGTACTTGAGGGGAAATCTTCCAATGGGGACACTAGTTTTGGTGACCTATGGAGCCCCATAAGATTCCAGTAATTTGCAGGGATTTCCTCTAACTTCCGGTTTGGCTGTGGGACAAGAAGTGGAGGGAAATCTCTCCAGTGGGACACAGATGGCAATAAATAAATAAACCTGACAGGGGTTATAACCCTCCCTTCTCTATCCAAATTGATAGAGAAGGTCACGGGTCCCAGCTGACGATTCCCCGCTGGTACCCTGCGATCACCGAATTTCACTGATGGGGGAGAGGTCTGCATGTAAGCAACATAGATCTCTCCTCTGTCAACACCAGCACGCTGCTTTGTATTGCTCTGCATACAAAAGAAGAGCAATACAAAGCAGTGTGCTTACACAGTAAAAAGCACACACAGCACACATAGTAAAAGAGCACACAGTTAACTCTTTGATCACCCCAAATGTTAACCCCTTCCTGCCCAGTGCCATTAGTACAGTGTCAGTTCTGTTTATTAACACTGATCACTGTATTGGTGTCACTGGGGATGTCAGTGGCAGTTTTTCAGTTCCCCCCCAGTGTCAGAATGCCCGTCGCAGTCCCGCTATAAGTCGCTGATCGCTGCTTTTACTAGTATGAAAAAAAAACATTCCAGTATATATAGCGCCATTTGTAGATGCTATAACTTTCACATCAACCAATTAATTTACACGTATTGGGATTTTTGTTAGCAAAGACATGTTGCAGAGTACATTTTGGCCTAAATTTATGATGAAATAAATTTTTCTAAATTTTTAACTGGATGTTTTATAGCAAAAAGTAAATAAATATTGTTTTTTCTCAAAATTGTTGGGTCTTTTTTTGTTTATAGTGCAAAAAATAAAAACGCACAGGTGATCAAATACCACCGAAAGAAAGAAAGCTCTATTTGTGGGGAAAAAAGGATGTAAATTTCCTTTGGGTGCAGCGTTGCATGACCGCACAATTGTCAGTTAAAGTGATGCAGCGCCGTATCGCAAACAATGGCCTGGTCAGGAAGGGGGGTAAATCCTCTGGAGGGCAAGGGGTTAATGCATATAATTTATTAAAGTAAAAACAGTTTTGACTTCAGAAGCACTTCATGTTTTACTGCCAAAATAAGTAATGTTGTGCCCTAAAACGAACTGTCACTGATAACTGACATTTAATAAACCGCGTTGTGCTGATCATTATTTCCTGCTAAGCAAAATGAAAAGAAGCAAGCAAGGCTCTGGCAGCAAAGGGGTTACACCGCAGCGCAGTGACACCAGGCCACGCCCACTTGGTTCCATGGCACAATAGAGATCTATGGCTGAGCGCGACCCCAACCATCAGCCTGCCAAGGTGCTTCAATACAGGGGGCGGGGCCGCACAGCGATTGGCTCAGGGTCAGAGATCCGTCTCCCTATTGGCTGTCCCGGAGTAATAGAAAGCTGTGAGCAGAGATGTGTGTCGGGTCCCGGCAGTGAGCGCTGTATTGGAGCTGTGCGATCATGGCATCGGTTGGCAGTGCTGCCCACTTCCAGAGAGCCAGCCTGTTGTGGATGGCGGTCATCACCCTGTCTATGGGCTTCTTCGCAGTAAGAGGGGACTGGGGGAGGGGCGGTGCACGAACCTTCTGTGGTCAGCACATAGGAGGTTGTTGTGTGTAAGGGGGATCACGTGATGACATTACAATACACAGCACAGGCAGGAGCTTTCACCATGGGACCTCTATAGAAGGAGGGATTCTGGATTCCAGGCGCCCTGAGGTACTAGTAATCATCACAATAGATGACCAGCTGCTGTGATTACATAGCTGGGCTCCATGTATAGACCCCAGCATTAGACCATGGTGGACATGAGATGACCGTGCTGAGGTCAGATGATGACCCGGGGCTGGATGTCCGCTCATGTGTCTACAGGTGATGGCCGGGGCTGGATGTCCACTCGTGTCTATAGGTGATGGCTGGGCCTGGATGTCCACTCATGTGTCTACAGGTGATGGCCGGGGCTGGATGTCCGCTCGTGTGTCTACAGGTGATGGCCGGGGCTGGATGTCCGCTCGTGTGTCTAGAGGTGATGGCCGGGGCTGGATGTCCACTCGTGTGTCTACAGGTGATGGCCGGGGCTGGATGTCCGCTCGTGTGTCTACAGGTGATGGCCGGGGCTGGATTTCCGCTCGTGTGTCTATAGGTGATGGCCGGGGCTGGATGTCCGCTCGTGTGTCTACAGGTGATGGCCGGGGCTGGATGTCCGCTCGTGTGTCTACAGGTGATGGCCGGGGCTGGATGTCCACTAGTGTCTATAGGTGATGGCCGGGGCTGGATGTCCACTCGTGTGTCTATAGGTGATGGCTGGGCTGGATGTCCACTCATGTGTCTACAGGTGATGGCCGGGGCTGGATGTCCGCTCGTGTGTCTACAGGTGATGGCCGGGGCTGGATGTCCGCTCATGTGTCTACAGGTGATGGCCGGGGCTGGATGTCCGCTCATGTTGTCTACAGGTGATGGCCGGGGCTGGATGTCCGCTCATGTGTCTACAGGTGATGGCCGGGGCTGGATGTCCGCTCATGTGTCTATAGGTGATGGCCGGGGCTGGATGTCCTCTCGTGTCTACAGGTGATGGTCCTCGGTCTAGATGTCCACTCATGTGTCTATAGGTGGCAGAGGCAGCCCAGTCATCTATATTTATAGGATGAATGTTTATTTCCCGACATCCATAGGAAGGACCATCTCATCCAAGGTGATCTGCGCATTATCACAAAGCTGAGCATACACTGTGCAATCTGATTGGACAATCATCTTTACCCACTTGCCTACCGGGCACTTTTACCCCCGTCCAGGCCAGTTTTCAGCTTTTGGCGGCCTCACACTTTGACAATTGCGCGGTCATGCAACACTGCATCCATATTAAATTTTTATCTTTTTTTCGTACAAATAGAGCTTTCTTAAGGATGTAAGGATGTAAAGGATGTAAAAGCAATAATTTCTCCTTCTCTCTGGCTGCATTCTTGCAGCCCTTGAGAAATACTGTGTGAGCTGTGATTGGTCACAGCTTGTCACATGGTACAAGGCTGTTGTGAATAGCCTTGTACCATGTGACCTCTGTGATCATTCACAGATTTCACACGTAGTAAGCAATGATATCAGGAAGTGACATCTTGCTTACTACTATTTAGTGATCACATGGTCGGGACCTCACCCAGGGAGTATGCATAGGCAGGGAATGCAGGAGGACATTTTATGTACCTGGGCTGGACGGGAAGTGGCTAAAGTGTGGTGCATTTTTGCGACTTTTGGTGCGTTTCCATTGAATATAATGGATGGTGCGTTTTTCAGACAGGGCATGGAGATGCAGCAAGCAGCACTTTTCAAAAATGTAGCACACTTTCATGCTGGGAAGGTGTGTTTTAGCACTGCAAAAGTGCAGCAGTGCAAAATGGCTTTAGGCCTGGTCCACACCTGTGCTTTTTGCAGAACGTCCATTTAGTAAAGTTTCTTGTGAGACATGTTTACATCTATGCCTTTTTCATCTGCTGTGTGTGTGGATCAATGACTTTTTGCATCGATTGGAGTAGTAAGATATTTTATTCATTAATATGATCATATTTCGATCGCTCAGATTATGAGAATATTGGGTGAAATCAGACTTGCAACCAATGACATCAGATCATAAGTTGCAATAGTGTCTTAAAGACCTAAATCCACTTGCCCGTGAGTGTGGCATATTGATCAAATGGGTTGTCGACTATAGATCAATTATTCCGTTTGGAGAAGAAATCGATCATTTTTCAAAGCGTGTATGGCCTCCATTAGATCTACCAACGACTTTATGTTGTAATGGCCTGTGTGATTGGATAGAGGTTGATTAGATTGTATAGGTTTGTCTCATTTTGTGAAGTTTTGGTAAATTTTAACCTGAGGGGTACAAGGATTGTAATGTGTATGGACACCCTAAAGGTGACAACACTTGTATCGATACGACCATTCCATCAGTCCTTTAGTGTGATTTGAATAAAAATCGTATACCACAGAATCGTAAACACCGCAAATTGATCAACTATGGTGAATTTTGTCAATTCCTTTTGATTGGATATCTGCACGTGTGTTTGAGAATCAGTTGTATTCTAGATCAATTGAACAGTTATTTTTAATTGTTTCTGATTTTCATTGGATACTGTTATGTGTTGCATCTTTCCATGTTTTAATTGATGGTGGATCTCTCGTTCGCAGTCGCTTGTACATAGATTGATCACAATCAATGTGTGTATTGTCACCATAGACAGGGTAGGTCTAGGACGGGGGTGGGCAACCTGTGGCTCTCTAGCTGTTGTGGAACTACATTTCCCATGAGGCATTGCAAAGATTACAAAACTGACAGTTACAGCTCTGACTTGCAGAGGCATGATGGAACTTGTAGTCCTGCGGCTCTCAGGTTGTCTACCCCTGGTCTAGGAGAAGGAGACAACCTGTGTAAAGTAGGTGCTCCTTGCAATGCAGTAGGATGCCAGCATCTTTGTGGCTTCAGGCTCCAGTAATAGAAGACCAACCCTGGTTATTTGTGGGATCAGTGCTGGCAACATTTGTATATTTATGTATTGTGTGGTCACTTCTGCAACCTGAATTATTTTAGAACGGTAGGAAAGTCCTACCTAGCTTGCCGATCCTCCGAGATCAGTCAGTGGTACAGTGTCAGATGCAGGGGCGGACTGACAACTCATGGGGCCCCCGGGCAATAGGGGATTATGGGACCCCTGTGTCCTTGCCCAAACTCAAAAAAGCCTATGAAAAAGGTACCAGGGGCATCTCATGGGGCCCACTACTGACCCCGGGCCCTCGGGCAGTGCCCGAGTTTCCAAATGGTCAGTCCGCCCCTGGTCAGATGTATGAGCATCTTCCACACACCTACCATAGCTGTTCACATGTCCTTCTATCCTGCCACCCTTCTGAAAAGCAATTTGCTTTTCAGAGGACATTTGATAGGCAGTGAGGAGGCAATTTTATTCCTCTAACTATCTGCTTTAAGCCTCAAAAAATGCTGACCCACCGTGCTGCATCGCCTGCATTGCTCCTGGTTGCAGAAAGGCTCCGTTGCCCCCACTTGAATCGGTCATGCCTGTCAAAAATGGCATGATGTTTAATTTTCCTCACAAAGTATTGCAGTGGCTGCTTGCCGTAGTTTAGGTGGGTGGTAAAACCACAGCTCAACCACCTGCTTTTTACCAGCTGCCTGTGTGAATGAGCTCTTGGACTACCTACAGATCCATTGTTTCAGGGGGCTTTTGATGAGCTTCAGGTCTTCTGGAGGACTCAGAGCTTCAACTAAGGCCTATTGTACACTTGTGGTCTAAATGCAGTAAAAATAGGTGGCACTCCCCCCCCCCCCCCCCCCCCCCCCCCCCCCCCCTTAAAGCAGAACTAAACTCTCTCAACTATTTTTAATTCTTTTGCTGCTAGCTTTATTGAATAGATAGGAAGGCATCTTATCGTTACTTGTTTTAAGCTTCTCTCCATTTTTTTTTTTTTTTCTTCTCCAGATACTTCCTGGTAAAACCCAAGCTTATGTCATACATCCCAGGAATATTCAGGAGGGAAGGAGGGGTTTTCTCAGCTAGGCACACCCTCCTGTCTGCATGCCTAAGCCATGGGCAGATGGATTCCAGGAAATAAATGATACATGAATCATCTGCCTTTACTGAAGATGGCTGCGGCTAGAAATACTGGGGGGGGGGGGGGGGTGTTTTTCAAAGTGTACACCGTTTAAATGCAAATATGGGAGCTGTTTTACCTGCCAAAGGATTTTTAGATCTGTATAGGCAACCTTGTGATCTACATGTGCCAAAACGTCCAGCAAGACAGGTGACACACATATCCTCACTCAGTGTCACCTCACTGCTTCCGACCTGTTCACTGAACAATGAGTCTGCATGAAGGTGAACAATGAAACAATTGCATTTAATAAAGAAATAGAATGATCTGGCTGTGCAGTGTGGCAGAGGTGTGTACATCACAAGACTGGCTGAACAAAAAACATCCTTTTGATAAGTGTAACAGTAAATCTATATGTATTTTCCCGTGTGTATTAGGCACTTAGCCCAGACTTCTGCTTTTATAGGTAACTGAGTTACCTGTAAACCATTGGTAGCTCTGCCCCGTTGCACTGGAGGGCTTTTCTCTGTGCTTGCATGGGTTTCCTTCAGGTACTTCAGTTTCCTCCCACCCTCCATAGACATGTTTTGTAGATTAATTGGCTCCTGTCTGCTGCCTTAGTGTGTAAGCTCCCGAGGTCAAGGACTGACGTGAATGTACAATACATAAAACACTGCATAAATTGTTGGTGCTATATAAATATCTATAATAGATGAGACCAGGCTGTTGATCACAGCCTATGTGGAGGCTGTTTGATATGTTTTTCATGTAGGAACACAAGATGTTTGTCCAGCTGATGTGGGCTATTAGGCAGATTGAGGAGCGTTGACCATTTCTACTTTCAAAAAAGACAAAGCCCTTTAGTATTTATGCTGATCTGTAGGGGTTGTTATCTGATAACAATCAGAGTGCTTCAGGAAGGGGGGGGGGGGGGGTGATGAGCTTCAGGTCTGCTGGAGGACTCAGAGCTTCAAATCTTTCCATATGTCCTTCAACAAAGCTATGTGTTGCTAGACCTTAAAGTCTAAGCACAGCCAAAAAAAAAAAAAAGTACAAGGGACATAGGGATGTATCCCTTGTGCTGATGTCTCTTCTATTATATGAAATCCTCCTCCGTCAATGCTTCTCCCCTGAGGCAGTCATAGAACTGTGATCTGTCACAGGCTCTCATCAGGAGGGCCAGACTATGCCCGCCCTTTCTTCCCAGCTCTGCTATTCATAGAATCCATACTACAGCTTCCATGAATGGAAAGCAATCTATGAATGAAGGATGGGCAGATGATTGGTTGCTCCATCTAATCCATTTATAGATTGCTTTCCATAATAGAAGCTGTAGTTGGATTCTATGACTGGTGGAAAGGGCAGGCATAGGCAGGCTTTCTTGATGAGAGCCTGTGACAGCGTTCACAGTTCTCTTAACTGCCTGTCTCAGTGGAAGTTTGTGGCGAAGGGGGTGGGCACATCGGTGCAGGAAGATTTCACATAACCGAAGAGGCATCAGCACAAGGGTCCCATCCTACTGACTGTAAGTTATCTGCCTTGTGACTTTTCTGATTATTTTGGCTGCATTTTGGTTTTCCTTCTTCATTAATGCATTTCAATAAAATAATTCTGGTAAATTAAAATGATATAATTTACTCCATTGTAAGGTCCCTGCCTATTTAACACACACAAATAAGATCTAAGTTTCCAATATTTCTTTTTCAGTGGACGGTGTTCTGGCCTACGAAGGTTCCATATGAGCAGCTTGGACCTCTTGGATCATTCGTTCAGTTCAGTATCTGGTGAAGAATCACTATAGCACCTTGTTCAACGGGTAAACTTCACAACTGTTTTTTAATACCATTATTTCCCATTTCATCTTTCAGGACAACATATGAGAGCGAGAGAGAGAGGCTCCACCCACCTAAACCAGGAAACACATCATCCACAAGCAAATAAAGAGTACAGTACAGTCACCGGGTGTCCTCAGTATTTTTTCTCCTGCCTAGCAGGATTACCGGAATGGATTGTTATTCTTCCCTCAGGCCTTCGTGCTAGTTGCAAGGGCCTCCTAGTATATGCTTCCCCAGATTCTAGGGACAGTGGTTATGGAGGGGTCGCATATCTGGGGTTTTCTAGGCTACTTTGGTAAGTATCCTAGTTGTGGGACCTTCCCTCCCCATTACCTTCTCGGTTTTCCCCAAGGTTCCTTCTCTGCCGGAGGGGAAGCAGTTTTACCCGTGGGCGCTGAGACTCTAGTGGAGCCCTCCTTTACATTTGTTCAAGCTTCAAATGCTCAGTGGCTGGCTGAGCCCCTTAAGTTTGCTGCTGATTGAGATGAATGGATTATGGCTGTTGGCTTCCCCAAATCTTTTGGAAGGAGAACTGCATGACTGGAGCAGGCTCATTTTCCACTACCCTGCGCATCAGTAAGGCTGAAGCAGAGGCATCCGGAGTCCCTGACTACTTCCAGACACATTTCGTCACTCAAAGGATGTCGTCAGGGACCTTTTGAGTGACAAAACACTTAGGGTGGAGCTGTGACGTCATTGTGCACCGTTATGGACCACGGCCATCTTATTGGTTGGAAACATTACTCATATCAGCTGATTTTCACTCTGCTTCTTGTAAGTGCAGTACTTTAATAAATTGTATATTTTATCTAAATACTACACTATGAGCGGACATATTTCTTTCCCTATGTGGTGTTTAACTATGTAGAGAGATATTTGCCATCTTAGACCGCAGTGTGAGGTAAGAAGCTTCTAACTTATTCTGGTATCTGGGGAGATCCTTCTGGGAGTCCTGGACTCATCTGTTGGGCTTGATATGTGCTTTGTTTGACCAGTCCTTCGGGTGGTCAAACTTTGTTAGGAGGCCAAATGATTTGGTGAAAGGTGAAGGATTCTCTTCTTGCTGGTTTCATTTGACACCATTATCACTGGATTTTACGAGTTTTTGCAGAGTTTTTGGACTTCATTATCATTCTTTATTTGGTTTTTTTTTATAAGCGCTACACTAAGTGTTTATCATTTGTGAAATTGAAGGCTTGGTTGGTTAAATTTCGAAATCTATGGTGGCACCATCAGATTACAAAACGCACAAAAAATTTGTTCAGAATTCGACCTTTATATGGTTGCACCTTTTACAAAAGTGTAAGCTGCTATCATTTATCACTGGATCTGGACTTGTTAAGACTTTTTTATGAGCTGGAAGGCTTTTTCTGTCACACACATATCCTCACTCAGTGTCTTGCTTCCGACCTGTTCACTGAACAATGAGTCTGCATGAAGGTGAACATGAAACAATTGCATTTAATAAAGAAATAGAATGATCTGGCTGTGCAGTGTGGCAGAGGTGTGTACATCACAAAGCAATCTAGGTGTACTGCAGTGCTTTCGAATCACTGTGTATATGCAATGATTAAATACCAAATATTAACCACTTGCCCTCCAGAGGATTTAGCCCCTTTCCTGACCAGGCCATCTTTTGCGATACGATGCTGTGTTACTGTATTTGACAATTGCGCGGTCATGCAACACTGCACCCAAATTAAATTTATGTCTCCCCCCCCCCCCCCCCCCACAAATAGAGCTTTCTTTTGGTGGTATTTGATTGCCTCTGCTGTTTTTTGGCGGTATAAATACTGACAATTTTGAAAAAAAAAACTTGTTTTTGACTTTTTGCTAAAAAAAAAAATCTGTGTGTGTGTGTCAGGGCTGTGGAGTCAGTAGATAAATGTTCTGACTCCGACTCCTCAGTTTTGTCCCCCCCCCCCCCCTCCCCCCTGACTCCTCTGTATTAATATGCGAATGTATTTTATACATTCCTTGAAGGAAAGAAAGGCAACATACATGTCATTACCACAGGACTACTGGCTGTGAAGCCAACAGTCTACTGTATTGAACAGTTTAAGCAAAAGACAAACACAATGAAAACAACAAAGTTTTATTAATTAATCAAGTGGCTGGATAGTAGCAGCAGGCATAAACATCAGGAACAGGAACTTTACCAGTCAAAAATACAAACCACATTATTTGGTTGTTTTAGAACAAAAACAAAGCTTATCTATATGAACCAAAAACAAAATCTCTAAAACCTAGAAATGGTTTATATTAATCTTGAAATGTAGTTATAGGCTTACCAAATGCAAATCAATTCAATGTAGTGTTCTAAGGAAGAGAATTGCCTCTGCCAGATCCTCTTTCATAGAGGCTCTTAAGTCAGGCTTTATTATTTTTAGGGCTGAAAATAATCTTTCGACACTGACTTGGGTGGGTGGCATTGCAGTAACTATTCTGGCCACATCACTAACGATAGAGAGAAGTAGAGAAGTCATTAATTATAACTTTTTGTGAATTGGGACATTTAAACTTGCTTTTTTTTTTTAATTCCAATCTAAATTTAATTGGAGTCGGAGCATTGTTTGCCGACTCCGACTCCAGGTACCCAAAATTTCCTCCGACTCCACAGCCCTCGTATGTATGTATGTATAAATAATATCTCCACTATATATGCAGTTAGTCAGTCCCCCCCCCCCCCCCCCAGTGTCAGAATGCCTGCCGCAAGCCCACTATGAGTCGCTGATCGCCGCCATTTTATATATATATATATATATATATATATATATATATATACTATATATATATATATATATATATATATATATATATATATGTGTGTGTGTGTATATATATATGTGTGTGTTGTATATATATATGTGTGTGTGTGTGTGTGTGTATATATATATATATATATATAATATAATTATATATATTATATAATATTATATATAATGTGTGTGTGTGTGTGTGTGTATATGTATATATATATATATATATATATATATATATATATATATATATATATTATATATATATATATATATATGTGTGTGTGTTTGTATATATATATATATATATATATATATATATATATATATATATGTCAGGTCCATAAATATTGGGACATCAACACAATTCTAACATTTTTGGCTCTATACACCACCACAATGGATTTGAAATGAAATGAACAAGATGTACTTTAACTGCAGACTGTCAGCTTTAATTTGTGGGTATTTACATCCAAATCAGGTGAACGGTGTAGGAATTACAACAGTTTGCATATGTGCCTCCCACTTGTTAAGGGACCAAAAGTAATGGGACAGAATAATAATCATAAATCAAACTTTCACTTTTTAATACTTGGTTGCAAATCCTTTGCAGTCAATTACAGCTTGAAGTCTGGATTGCATAGACATCACCAGATGCTGGGTTTCATCCCTGGTGACGCTGTGCCAGACCTCTACTGCAACAGTCTTCAGTTCCTGCTTGTTCTTGGGGCATTTTCCCTTCAGTTTTGTCTTCAGCAAGTGAAATGCATGCTCAATCGGATTCAGGTCAGGTGATTGACTTGGCCATTGCATAACATTCCACTTCTTTCCCTTAAAAAACTCTTTGGTTGCTTTTGCAGTATGCTTTGGGTCATTCTCCATCTGCACTGTGAAGCGGCATCCAATGAGTTCTGAAGCATTTGGCTGAATATGAGCAGATAATATTGCCCGAAACACTTCAGAATTCATCCTGCTGCTTTTGTCAGCAGTCACATCATCAATAAATACAAGAGAACCAGTTCCATTGGCAGCCATACATGCCCACGCCATGACACTACCACCACCATGCTTCACTGATGAGGTGGTATGCTTAGGATCATGAGCAGTTCCTTTCCTTCTCCATACTCTTCTCTTCCCATCACTCTGGTACAAGTTGATCTTGGTCTCATCTGTCCATAGGATGTTGTTCCAGAACTGTGAAGGCTTTTTTTAGATGTCGTTTGGCAAACTCTAATTTGGTCATCCACCACAGTTGTTTTCTGTGGTCTTCCGGGTCTTTTGGTGTTGCTGAGCTCACCGATGCGTTCCTTCTTTTTAAGAATGTTCCAAACAGTTGTTTTGGCCACACCTAATGTTTTTGTTATCTCTCTGATGGGTTTGTTTTGTTTTTTCAGCCTAATGATGGCTTGCTTCACTGATAGTGACAGCTCTTTGGATCTCATCTTGAGAGTTGACCGCAACAGATTCCAAATGCAAATAGCACACTTGAAATGAACTCTGGACCTTTTATCTGCTCATTGTAATTGGGATAATGAGGGAATAACACACACCTGGCCATGGAACAGCTGAGAAGCCAACTGTCCCATTACTTTTGGTCCCTTAACAAGTGGGAGGCACATATGCAAACTGTTGTAATTCCTACACTGTTCACCTGATTTGGATGTAAACACCCTCACGTTAAAGCTGACAGTCTGCAGTTAAAGCACATCTTGTTCGTTTCATTTCAAATCCATTGTGGTGGTGTATAGAGCCAAAAATGTTAGAGTTGTGTCGATGTCCCAATATTTATGGACCTGACTATATATATATATATATATATATATATATATATATATATATTAGTAATGGCGGCGATCAGCGACTTATAGTGGGACTGCGGCAGGCATTCTGACACTGGGAAGGAACTGACTAACTGCAACTGACATCCCCAGTGACACTAATACAGTTATCAGTGCTAATAAAAAGCACTGACACTGGGCAGGAAGGGGCTGACATCTGGGGCGATCAAATGGTCATCTGTGCACTTTTACTAACTGTGTTGTGTGTGTTTTTGTGTGTAGGAATGCTGCTTTGTATTGCTGTGCTATGTAGAGCAAATCACAGCAGCATGCTGGTGCTGACATACAGACCTCTCCCCCCTATCAGTGTTCCTCAGCGATCGCTGGGTGCCAGCGGGGAATCTCCGGCCAGGACCTGGTGATCGCCAGCTATGGCCGGAAATG